TCAATTTAGTCTGTTTTTGTTGTCCTTTGAATTATTAGCCATGTAATTGATAATTTTTATCTGTAATTCTCTTTTGTAACCTTTAATCTCCTTCAGGACGTTGTTATGAGTTAATAAAATACCTTGGTCATTGGTCTGTGTCTATTTTCAGTTCCAGTTTTCAAAGTAAACAGAGATAATAGTCATTTTGCCTTAAACATGGTGGTTTGGCATTTGGTTACAAACTATTTTCAATCAAAAATCTGTGTACATTAGCATCCCAGTGAGTCACTGCTGTACTGAAACTCGGCATCCAATTTTTGGAAATGCATCATCTGTTAGCATGCGTCAGCTTGGATGCACTGCAAACCTGGGTGATTTCTCGATTTTGCTGCCTTTGTAAAGAATAGTACGTTTGTTCACTGAATAAACTGTCTATTTATAAAACATTGTGTATTTACTCGTCTTTGACTCGTAGTTTTACAGCTCTTACATCACTCATATTTGAATGAAGACAAATATTGGGGAATAATATATAATTATTGTGTCCTATAATACTTTGTTCACAGACCATGAGGTCTATGGTTTATTAAAACAAATAACATTCCTAAAAAGGAATTAAATTTGTGACATTACATAGAGAGCTAAATAAAGAATAAGAAAAAAAATACAAATTACATTCGAAAAACAAAAGACCAACCTAGAATGGAACTACAGAAAGAATCACAGAAACTAAAATTCACACTAGACAACCAGCTGGCTACTGACAAAAATGATATAAAACTGTTTCAATGGGAGAAAATAGAACTTACTAAATTATTCCAAGCTTTGTAAAAAATAATAATGCAAAATGATTATCAGTTAATTAGAATTTGACAGGGAAATCTAAAATTGTGTAATGACAGAAATTTTTTGATTCAATATTCTTATATTTCAATATTAATCACCTTATTTACAAAATATCTTTTGAAAGTTTTTTTTGTTTATTCACATGAATGTACAGTGTAAAAAAGTAAATATTTGTCGTATGTTAATTTAATAGGAAGGGAAGAATGAAGTAAGGAAAATACCCGTACCTCCCAATAGATATACTCCATTGAAAGATAATTGGATGAAAATATTTACTCCGGTTGTGGAACATTTACATCTTCAAATTAGGTTTAACCTTCGTACTAGAAATGTTGAAATTAGGGTGAGTATAAAAGTTCGCTACCTGTGTTTGGATTGGTTAGTTAGCATGCTTCCTGATTGGATCACCAACCATTAATGAATATGTCAATAAAACCTCCTTCCTGATTGGATTACCAACCATTACTGACTATGTCAATAAAACCTCCCTCCTGATTGGATCACCAACCATTAATGAATATGTCAATGAAACCTCCCTCCTGATTGGATTACCAACCATTACTGAATATGTCAATAAAACCTCCCTCCTGATTGGATTACCAACCATTAATGAATATGTCAATAAAACCTCCCTCCTGATTGGATCACCAACCATTAATGAATATGTCAATAAAACCTCCCTCCTGATTGGATTACCAACCATTAATGAATATGTCAATAAAACCTCCCTCCTGATTGGATCACCAACCATTAATGAATATGTCAATAAAACCTCCTTCCTGATTGGATTACCAACCATTACTGAATGTATCATTTATGCTGATTTGAATACTTCATATTGAATCCCTTTATGCATGAACACTACTTAGTTTTATGTTGCCCTCCTGTGCTATTTCTATATTTTTTTCATTGCAGTCTTCAAAAGAAACAAAAGAAATCAATGCATTGCAGAAAGCAGCTGATTTTGTTAAAGCATTTACTTTGGGATTTGAAGTAGAAGTAAGTATATAGTTCCAATGAGTTACCATAAAAACTTCAATTCACAGTATTAATTGTTTTCTCAAAAGCATGAATTATTAGCATTCAACATGATTCCTGAATGTTGAATGTTCACTGAAGTCTTTTCAAGTTGACATAGCTCATTCTACTTAGCTTGAGTGTTGGCACAAAGTTACTATTTGAATTTTTGATATCTTTTTTTATTACTGAGAAATTTTTGGGAAACTGTTCAACAGGAATGGCTTTGGGGGGGGGGGGGCTGATTTTGTTCAAATTTGGCAGACAAGTCACACCTTTACTCCAGTTAGGTGGTAAAATCTGAAAAAAATTCCTGCTCCACTGTTGCCATGGCACTAAAAACAGAATTTTTTAATACTTTTACAACATTACAATATATCAAGGGACATTCTTATTGTCACTATAAAATAGTGTTACTCAGTTGGTTCACTTGATTGTACAATTATCTGGTTGTCATTTTTACTTTCTTTACCCCTGACAATTGGAAAGTTAAATTGAAGTATAATTTTTACATTATTTGATGTATAACTAATAAAATATTGTTTTCTTTTTACAGGATGCTTTAGCATTACTCAGATTAGATGAACTTTTTTTAGAATCCTTTTCAGTCACGGATGGTATGTATCTCATCCCTTCGTTGTCTTCTGTCAGCATAGTCTCATCCCTTCATTGTCTTCTGACACCATAGTCTCATCCCTTCATTGTCTTCTGACACCATAGTCTCATTCCTTCATTGTCTTCTGTCACCATAGTCTCATCCCTTAATTGTTTTCTGTCACCAGTCTCATCCCTCCATTGTCTTCTGTCACCATAATCTCATCCCTTCATTGTCTTCTGTCACCATAGTCTCATCCCTTCATTGTCTTCTGTCACCAGTCTCATCCCTTCATTGTTTTCTGTCACCAGTCTCATCCCTTCATTGTCTTCTGTCACCATAGTCTCATCCCTTCATTGTCTTCTGTCACCATAGTCTCATCCCTTCATTGTCTTCTGTCACCATAGTCTTATCCCTTCATTGTTTTCTGTCACCAAAGTCTCATCCCTTCATTGTTTTCTGTCACCAGTCTCATCCCTCCATTGCCTTCTGTCACCAGTCTCATCCCTCCATTGCCTTCTGTCACCATAGTCTCATCCCTTAGTTGTCTTCTGTCACCAGTCTCATCGTTTCATTGTCTTCTGACACCATAGTCTCATCCCTTCATTGTCTTCTGACACCATAGTCTCATCCCTTCATTGTCTTCTGACACCACAGTCTCATTCCTTCATTGTCTTCTGTCACCATAGTCTCATCCCTTCATTGTTCTCTGTTACCATAGTCTCATCCCTTCATTGTCTTCTGTCACCATAGTCTCATCCCTTCATTGTCTTCTGACACCATAGTCTCATCCCTTCATTGTCTTCTGTCACCATAGTCTCATCCCTTCATTGTCTTCTGTCACCATAGTCTCATCCCTTCATTGTCTTCTGTCACCATAGTCTCATCCCTTCATTGTTTTCTGACACCATAGTCTCATCCTTTCATTGTCTTCTGTCACCAATAGTCCTCATCCCTTTCATTGTTTTCTGTCA